TGAAGTCGAAATATTAAAGAAACTAATTCAGCAGTTAATATTAAAAGAAGTTTTGTTTCAAAGATGCTATTACAAATAAGTAGCAAGGTTCGATAATTAATAGATGTCATCAGTTCACCAACTTTGACACAAAACTATATAGTTACCAATTAATCCTTTCACACATCGAGCGGATTCTCATGATCTGAAGCAATCTGTCGACGCTGACCAAAAATAGCGGCTCATTTCTTCTTGAGTTGCCATTTTCGCGTCGAAGAACAAAAATATAGACTTTCGGAGAATATTTTAGCTGTTTACGATCAAATATGTTTCTGAAACAGTTGATAATCTCACTGAGCAAGGCCAGCGGTTTCTGAAAAGCTAAAGTACGTCGAAATCAGCTTTGGAATAGACTATATGTTCACCGGGGAAACATGAACTAAATGGATATTTACATCAACACTAGATTTTGCTCGTGCCTACAGAGCTAGTTGCATTAAAACAGATGGTAAGAGGTAAGTGAAAATATGAATTTTGTGAACTATACTTTCATTAAAGTGTTTCAGAATGGCTGCTAATGTCAAACTACACGTGTGACGGAGCTCTTAGGATACCCATATTTCAAATGTTTAATCGCACGATTGCCAAATAATTTTGATCCGAGTTTGATTTGTCAGTTTGATATCCATTCTCCACAAACCAAGGAAAAAAAACTTCTACCGGTAATGTGTCTTTGTGAGAACGAAAGTTGTATATATAAATAAACATGCCCACTCGGTGCAGTGCAATGGACATTCATCATTTAAGAATACACAAATACAAACAAATTTATTCTCAACGTTCCAAATTGGATAATTCGTTGAATGCTCTCAATATTTATAAAGTTTACCAGAGCAGGTACGATCAAATTAAAATTATGTATTTTAAATTTGTATTCTCTGCCAACAAACCACAATAGTAGTTATCGTAATTACCATCGTCACAGTTAAGTGTCTGCTAGGTCAACAAATACTCTGTATAAATTATACGCGAAAGTTAATGCCGCCATAAAAACGCAGATAACAAAACACATGTGTATGTAAATATTTTTGTTTCCACTCATTTTCAACAAAAAGTACTACCAACCGTCTACAATTTTACCCATATTTCACCCTGTGGCACCATGTGTGTGATTCACAGATGGTGAAACAACTTTCACCATCCGTCAACCAATTCACCATGCGCACCATCCGCACGGATCGTCAGTGTTTTGGGGTCTACCCTCTGGCACCATGTGCACCATTCACGGGTCGTGAAACCACTGTCACCATCCGTCAACGAATTCACCATGCGCACCATCTGCACGGATCGTCAGTGTTTTGGGGTCTACCCTCTGGCACCATGTGCACCATTCACGGATCGTGAAACCCCTTCCACCATCCGTCAACCACTTCACCATGCGCACCATCTGCACGGATCGTCAGTGTTTTGGGGTCTACCCTCTGGCACCATGTGCACCATTCACCGATCGTGAAACCCCTTCCACCATCCGTCAACCAATTCACCATCTGCACAGATCGTCCATATTGTTTACGGATCGTGAAACCAATTCACCATCAGTGAACCAATTCACCATCTGCACAATGTAGTTACCAAATCCACGATCCGTGTCGTATCGTGGTATTGGACCATGCTCAAAACCAGGGGGGTGAAGTACATTGTCGAAAACTTAGGATCTCGGTTGGGACAGTGGTAGTTGCCATGAATTTAGGGACCAGTAGTCATGGCAATGGCGTCAGATCCGCCATGTTTTTGGCTTCACTTTTTTTTCCCGAGCAGGTCTTCCAGTAATATAGTATAGCTCAGTGCATAGCCCTGGTACACGCTGGTCACGTGTCAGGCAAATACTCCAAGATTCTTGGAGTACTTGCCTGCGAGCGGGCTTTGTGGAAATAAAGACAGGGGGCGACGAAAAGTTCACGAATGGAACTTGAATTGCCGCGGATTATTTATATTTTTTTATTTTTTGTTGTAATCTTTCTTCTTAATATTTTACGTTATATATACGTCGAATGTACATCAATCTTCTTTTATATCGCATCATGTAAATCGCCGAGGAGGCGATGTTTCGAATTTCGAAGCAGTGAAAATGGAGCCAATCTCGTACATACTATTTGTGATGATTTCCATCAAGTATGAAAAGGTACAGTATATAGGAATTTGAAAATGGTTAGAAGTATTTCATTGTTACAGATTATTTAGCAGATTCCCATTATTTGTTACACTGTCTAGCTCTATGAAATATATATTTCGAAGGCTATTTACTGTAATATATTTTATACAGTATGTTAATATAGTTAGCTGAATTTTGAGAAACACATGGCCAGACTATGGCCTATAAATAATACTATACTCGGACTCTCAGTAAAGTTCTACTCTCACATGATTATTATTTACAATATTGATTTATCGCTGCGAGAAACGTGTTTACACTTTAATACAGTATTATTAAACTACATTTTACAGCAGTATTAACTTCAAATACTTTGTATTTACATTTACAGTAATGACCTGAAATTATTTAAATGAGCCATTTAATACTGTAATAACAGAGTGGCCAGGTTGACAAAGCTAAAATCTGATGAACCTAATCTGCTAGGATATATTTCAATAGTTAAACATCAGTTTTAGCACTCCAGCTGGTCAGGGATTTTTTAGGGAAAAGTTTTAGCACCCCATTGTAATTAAAACCTGTCCCCGAATCTCAAAATTTCATTATTTTGTTCCCTTGCCCCTACAATCAATATTTATACCTTTTCTGCCCTTGAGATCTTTAAAAAAATTGCCTAACTCTGCAGTATGGCGTGTAACCTTGTTGCCATATTTATTTTCTGACTTCAGGCTTCAATAAATTTCTACTCTAATACCTGACAGAGATGGGGGCCATATGTATGAACAATAAGAAATGATTTCTTCATCTATTATTGACCCCTTACCTTTCACCCAATTTTAAAATTAAATTTACTGAATGATTTTGAAGTTTTCTAGATTATTGAAAAGAACTTTATGGATACAAAAAATGGGGCGAAAACAGTTGAATTAAGCAAGATGCAAGTAACAATGAACCAGACCGGGTCACTGTCCCAGATGGTATTTCAGCACACTGGTGGACATGCAACCTAATACCTGCAACCTAATACCTGCAACCTGTGTCACATTTATATATATAGTTTTACACTGTACTGGAAAAATAATGTCAAGGAACTTGTAGAGATTCAGAATGCACACTTCATGGTTTATTCAATCACCAGCATGCATGAATCATTTTATGTTATGAATATTTTTTTTAAATTATTCTCACTTAGATAAAATTATATCAATTTTTAATATCATAAATGAATATATAGTAGCTTTTGATTAAACAAGTTATAATAATATATCAGCAAATAATGACTGGTCTCTCTGAAATCCATGTAGGTACTTCCACTACCACTACTTGATCTGGCAGTTGCATCCGATTGTTTGATTGGATAAATGAAACTTATCTGGTTAGAACTTTAATGATAGCAATAGCAGCAGTGGAAGTAAAATCTGATCTCTCTATTATTTTTTGAAGATTTGCTCTAGTCACATCAATTCAGGGTTGCCCATGCAACTTGGTTAGCACAGCTAGCTCTTCAAGTTGGCAGTCCAATTCTTAGGATTCTGCAAATTAATTCTAGAAAACTGGCTTTGGTTTGGGCTAAGCAAAAATCATCGCACTGTTTATCATGCTGATTTAGTTGTTTAACAGTTAAAGTCCAGACTGCATGTTTTTTGTCCTGCATATGGCAGATGGGACAGTCTGGTTTCCAAGTGTTTATGTGGGGAATTAATATTAATCAGGACTGGCTTCTGAGTGAAGGTCTTGCCTGCTTTATGTGAGAGCAGGCTCTATGCGAGATTCCAATTGCTACACAGCATGATCTCAGGTCTCTTCCTCTGAAACAATGCTTGGTTGCAATATCATCCAGCAAGTGCAAAAATGCACTACCACGGTCCAGGATCATTTGGCATGTTCATCGACTATGTTAACCCATTGAGTGGCGCCATGCACTCTCCACCTGATGAGTAAAATTGTCTGGTGTTAGACAGAGTAAACTAACAAAGTAGGGTGCATCTGGGTGCAATGTACACACCCCTATGGACGATGTACACACACCCCTAAGAAAAAAGATCAAAGTGCCGACACCAACACACACATCCCAGAAATTAAGAAATTTTTGCCTTATCCCTCAGAAAAAAATGCAAAGATCAAAAGAGGCACCGATGCACACAACCCCTCAGAAACGGCTTTTTCAACCCCCTCAGAAATTCTAGTCCATGGGGGGGGGATATGCCACTTAAAGGGTTAAAAACGTAAATACCACAGCACAACACTTATATACATATATACATATACAAGTAATACAACAGCAATCCTTTTATATATTTAATAGTCATATTTACATATTGGTGAAATATCAATGTCCATATATTAGGGATGTCCATGAACTTGCCTCTAGTTTGAAGCTAATGCATTCATATCTTTTGTATAAGTTGTCCCTCTACAAACCAACTTTTAGTCATTATACAAGAGTTGAATTTTAATTCATTTGCTTCGCAAGTCGCAACAAACTGAACAAAGTACTAAACCATAAACCTGTGCAACGATCGAGCGTCTTTAGCGACATATCCAAGTCTTTTAAACGTCTCATACGAACAAATCTCACTGAGTTTTTTCTACAGAAAGTATTGATCCAGTTGATCGATCGCCGTACTTTGAGAAAAGCTTGAAATGCAAAATTCACAGGGAAGATTGAAGAATTTCGGAGATAAAAACTGTTTGTCTTCGAGTTTCACCTATTCACCCCCCGGTTGAGAAAAGTAACAATTACGTAATGTTGGAGTCACGTGACCAGCGTTTACCAGGGCTATGCGTTTACCCTGGGTACGAGGTTGGGAAACCATAAAGTAATTGTTTTATAAAATAACAACAACACGGTAGTCTTCCGTGTTTGGATCACTGAGCTCTACTATATATATCTGGAGATCGTGCTCCCATATCTCGTCAAACAAAAAAGTGTCCGCAAAAACATGGCGGATTTCGAGCTCCGCGTCCACTATTTTCGGGCGATTTACCACTGACCACATAATATTTTTTAACGCCACCTGTTTTCGCACCCCCCTGGATGCAAAAAGTATACACTGTGTAATTATTAAACTATCAAGTTTCACAACTTTATATTTTGTCAACATGCCGCGTTTGCTCGGTTTATGGTTGTCACAACTCCTTTGACAAAGACCGGGACTGTATTCACACTGTCACTGGTAAGGAAATATTATTTTGTGCTATCATTCGAGAAGTTTTTTTCTGCAAATGACAATGTAAAGCAAACGGTAGTTTATGTTTTGTTCACGTGCATGTGTCACCAGCTTTTCTCGACTATGGCTTCTTTTCTGAGGTTTTTGCATGCAGTTTGTTTCATTCAAATATTATATTTCCATTGTTCCTTGTGATGTTCTCGTGTGCGTTTTTCCTACCCACTGTACAGTGTATTTTATAGGCCTGTTTGTATTTATGAAAGCATATTGTTATTGAATTTTTTCCCTTCACATATTTAAGCATTCCTGATGCAAAGAAGCATCCAGAATTGTACAGCATATGGGTTGAGTATATGAATAAACATGCGCCAGTGAAGTCTGTTCCTGTGAAAAGTAGTTGTTTGTGTTAGATCACTTTAGTGCTGATATGTATGAGATAAAGGGCAAAAGCCAGAAATTAGTATTGAGACCGGATGCTAATACCAACAATAGTTACACAACGGTTTGCTCAGGTCATTGGTGCGAGTTAATTAAAGTGTTATATGTAACAGTGTGAATGATTTACATTCTTTGCTAAGGGACAAGTCATTATTAATGCCGGGTAGGGGGCTGGTGGAAATTTTTATGAATAGCAAAAATTTTTCATGACCCCTTATTTTTCTAACAAACTATCCCCCCCCCCTTATTGAGGCAACATATTTCATAGCCCCCCCCCTCCACCCCAATTCTGAATTCAATTACTCTAAGTCAATTTCGTAACCATTTTTCCTGCCCTCATACTCAGTTTACTTGCAGATGTAAAGAATATTGTAAATATTGAAAATAAAGAATATTGTAAATATTGAAAACGATAGCCAAGTAGATAATTCAGACTTTATACCTGAAAAGTTGTCGGTCCTCAAACAAAAAACCCACACATCAGACCTACTTTTACTAATTGAAAAAAATACTTTTGTGTCTGGTGGAAGCATTACTGTATATTGAAGAGATGGCAGAAGAGACTGACTGTCAACAACATGCAGAAACAGAACATGCGAAAGACTAAAGAGGTCCACTGTGTTAAAAGCAGGACAACAACTGTCAATTGAATCTTGCATTTGCAAATGCAGTGCATGACCCTTTAGACAAATTCTTTGGTGATGATGAGGATGACAATTTCCATATACAGTGCCTAGAACAAAACTTTTAGGTTCAATCTATTCAGGGTTTTCAGTTTAGGCCGGCGAACGGCGAATTTCGCCAGACTTTTTCATTCAACCCCACCCAAATTCGCCAGAGCTTTTACGTTTATATATATATAATCCATGTTAAATATGTAATCCATGTACAGGAATGATTGTTAGGCTTTTCCCTTTCGCCATAGCTTCATCGCCATTAGCCAGAGCCTCACACAAAACTGAAAACCCTGTATATTGGGCATTACTGTTCAATGTATGTATACTGAGGTTCAATATATTGGGCATTACTGTTCAATGTATGTATACTGTATATATCCATCACTCTTTTGATATTGCATGTTACAAACTATTCCATAGATTTTATTTCCCCCCCCCCTTTATGTTCAAAATATTTTCTGCCCCCCCCCCTTCACTGGTCAAAAATTTTTTGTGGCCCCTCTATATTAAAATTTTTTGTTACATTTACTAGGAATGGTATGCTGGATATGTTTTAAAAGAGGGCATACAAAAATTGTGTGCCCAAATAGAGCAAAAACCCACTCAGACAGTTGTTCAAGAACAACATAATTGGCACAATTGCCATGATATTAAATTCATTAAGTAACTTTGTGTAGGACTTATAATGTGTGAATGTTGTGTGAGTGTTAATTTTAATTTATTTATTAGGCCATATTTAATAAATATTCTTGGTTTGAAAAATATTTTAAGGGGGGGGGGGATGTCCCCACTGCTGGTGCCACCACTGGAAATATTAGCTAATTATAGCCAGGCATAGCTTCAATAAAATATATTGAAGTAAATATGACATCAAATATCTCTTTTATTAAAAGCGATAGCTATGTGCGTGTTTCACTTGTATAATTTGGGACAACCCGAAAATACGTTATGGAATTAACAAAATAAAACATGGGTATGAGACCAAGAATACTTATTGATGGCCTGTAATAGTAATATAATATTGTATATATTTTTAAATTAAACTTTTTAAATGTTGAATAAATCTAATTTGTAATGAAAATTAATAATGCACATAAGAATATGTTTAATAAAATAATATATAATTATTGTTTGGTGTGCTAGATCCTTAATTAACTAATCCTTTGCCTGGTCAAACAATATGATTCTATTGCCATGAATTGCCATCGATTCCAGTGACAAACGTAGAGCCATATACATTTGGGTATTTATTAGTGCAGATTTACTTTCCCCATAATGTGCACAGAGTACATTGTGAGTAGACATGATCACCAATGTGCAGTTTCCATAATCTGAAAAATACAAACAGCAGTAAATATTTAGATGATATATGCATAAACCGACATAAGTTTTGTTTCAACAAAGCATGGCTGTGTTCACAAATTTATACATTAAAATTATATGTATAGTAGAAATGCAAGAGGAACAACATACTTTTTATACAATTTGAAAGAGAATTATGCAAATATCAACGGCCTGCCCGGGGGGTACACCCCCGGGACAACTGGGGGGAAACGAGGGGGAATTTGGTATTTGATCTGTGTGTTCTGCCTGTGAACCCCGGGGAAATTAGGGAGTGGTCATTATTTATGGGGAGGGGGGTGTTGGGAAATGGGAAAAATAAGGATTGAAAACTTTTTTGACCCCCCCCCCTACAGAACTGAAGGCAAACTTTTTGTGCCTCCCCCCTCATAAAAGTAGAAACTTTTCTGACCCCCACCCCCCAGTGTGGATTGAAAAATTAATAGCAATGAAACAGGTGTGCATTGCATGTAAAGTTAGATATTAGGACAATCTGTTTAATGTAGCTCATGATGTTTTACCCTGGTGAATATGATTCAACCATATGTGATTAAAAGTATATATTATGTGTTACTATTTTGCAATGCAACATTTGTCCTACCATAACCCTAACCCATGACCCATCTTCATGCAGCAAAATGATTTGAACACAGGATTTTTTTAAGAACTTGTCTGGGCACCAACCATGGTAGTGCCTCGCAATCATGGGAGTCGGGCCCACTAAGTTTAACAAGCTTGCTACCCCCTGAGTGACCCAGTTGTGGTATTTACATAAACATACCATGCAAATACACTTAACTGATCAGATTTGGTCTATCAACGCACAATGTAACGCTGTATATCCAAAAATCTGTTTCAGAAAATGCTCACATTTCAGTTCTAGGGGTGGAAAAATACAAAAAATTTTCTGGGGGAGAATCTCCGGACCCCCTACTAATACATACGATACCACACCAAGCTTTTTGTCACCAACAACCATCTGTCATCTCTCCACACTCAATATAGTATGGTCCCTTTTTGTAGATGCCCACCCCTGAGCAGGGAAATTTTGAAAATTTTGAGTCTCTAGATCTTGGAAATAGCATTTTCAGAGTCGTCTTTTTTGCTATTTGTGATTATAGAAATCAGAACTCTAGGGCAGGGGGAATTAATGCATTAGAACCATGTTTTTGCAAAGTCCCGAGGGTGTACCCCCCAGGGCAGGCCATTGATATGTGCATTATATACAAGTAGTAATCGAGTTGAAATATTATATAATAGTAATAAATTATAGTATATTTCAATATATGAATGTATGGTACAGTACAAGTGTTTCATTAAAATTTTGAAAAATGCCTCACCTGTAGTGCTTTTCAGCTTTTGTTGTTTATTTATTAACATATGGAAACAGAATCACCATTGATAGTCCTCGAAATTTCAAAAGTTTGTTTCCCATCATGACAATTATTTCAATTTTTCGTTAATTTAGTAATTCATTACTCATTTTCTACGGCTCCACACAAAATACTGTAGGTCTGCACCTACCGATACTCCAAAAGCATACATGCGACATGGGCAAAAATACCACCATTCGTTCAGCTCATTTATATTATCTGTTTGGATCATCATTTATACATTTCACAGCAGAAATTGTGGAGATAGTCGCTCGAATGAATTAAAGCTCCAGCTTGAACATGATAGTAGTTGGTAAAGTTCAGAAGAAACCTTTTACACCTATATGTAACTAATATTTTACTAATTTCAAATACTCCTTTTTTAAAAATTATAAAAATCGGTGGCTCTCTGGTCAGGGGGGAGTGGGAAATGTCGCCCGCACGCATTTGAGCTGTGGTCAGTTAACATACCATGAGAATAGTGGACGCGGAGCTCGAAATCCGCCATGTTTTTGCGGACACTTTTCATTTGCGAGCACGATCTCCAGATATATATAGTAGAGCTCAGTGGCCCCCGACTGTTAGGGGGCCCCGAGGGGCCCCCACCAAATTTAGATTTATACGGTCATGATTTAGATTAATGCGGTTATACGGTATTACAATAAATAAACATCGACAGTGGCAATAAACATCGACAGTGGCAATAAACATCGACAGTGGCAACTGACATTTTATTTTATCTCAAATAAACTGAAAAGTTATTCTTATTAGTTATTGCATCAAGTACGTCCAAATTAAAAATGCAAAACAAAATATCGGCCATGATGGCTGGAAAGCGAAAGTACAAATCTGGGGCACAAAAGAGAGCCGAAAAAAGGAAAAAAACGACCGACCCCCTAGGAAGGTCGCGCCGTGAGACACATACGGTGCGTTTCGTCACTAACGATGTATGACAAAAGGGCCCCCGACACAAAATATGCCCCATGTTCCTCCGTTACGCTACTGTGATTAGAATGATGTTGTTATATGCTATTAACAACAACAACGGCAAAACGACAACGACAATAACAACAACGACAACAACAACAACAACAACGCTAAGACTACAAAACGAACATATAGTACAATACAAACGATTCAAAACGAATAAACGATACTAATTAGCTACATTAAGTGACTTAATGGAAGGCATGGCAAGTGTTTTGAAACTTGGGGTTGATTGGCAAAGATTGTTAAATGGGATGTGATTCCAGGTAACGATTGTTCTTGGATAAAATGAAAACTTATACACATTGACACACGACTGAATTTGGCGGTAAGGACAGATATTAGGCAGCCTGGATGCTCGGCTCTAGTCAAAGGACACACGTCATCAGGAAGACTGATTCCAACAAGGCCTTGATGGATCTTGTAGAACATAGTGGCTTGGTGTAGCAGTCGCCGTTGTTGGAGATTGTCCCAACCCAGGTGGTTGATCATTGGAGAGACGTGGCTAGCTCTGGAATAGTCATTGAAAACAAATCTAGCAGCTCTGCGTTGAACCATCTCGATCTTGTTGATCTTCCTCTTGGTGTAAGGGTTCCAGACTGTAGAAGGATACTCAAGTTGTGGACGGACAAGATTAGTATACGCCTATGCATACCAAAAGTTACTTGCATGATAATAATTCGAAAATGACATACACATAGATAAATGCAACTAGTTATTCAAAATCAGTGTAAGGGGCCTGGGAACGACTGTGTTGCCTTGACAACAAAATTAGAAGAATTTTCTCATGCGTCTCATCATGCACTATCTGTATGCAAAATTTCATTTGATTTGAGCGAATAATAATTTAGATATGCTTCAGTTTACTATTCAATAAACGTACTTACCCAACTAATGACGTCACACGTTGGGCTGAATGAGCAATTTATATTTTACACATTTTTGCGTATAACGTCGGAACCAGATGAGATAGAATATAGCAGTAAACAGCCAATCGGGTTATTTTTTCATGCTCTTTCAGGTAAAGCAATAAAAATTTTTGTTGCCAATACCCTTTAAAAATTCAAGGTACTTTTGTATAATTAAAAGTTCCGGTTTCTCTATTTAACCGAACAGCAAACAAAGATTTAATTAGTCAGTTCTGTGCACGGCTTGAATGCGCGCGCCCAAGCTTTCTCAAGGTCTCAACTTGCTGGACGCAGATATACTCTAACGGGCTAACCACAGCAACAACGAAATTCTCAATCGCACCACGAAGAAGGCGATGTAGCTCAGAAAACAACGCCGGTAGGACCTGATCGATAAATAAGACATTTGCCGAAGTGTCTTATGAAAGGAGAGCAAAGACATCTTGGCTGTCAACAACAAGCTTTCGAATACATGACTAGTTTTGCTCTTCTTTCAGCGTCGTGTGTCCAAACTTCTTCAAAGATTTTGATAAAGCCCTTTCAAAATACTAAAACTGTCTGTACCAGTGTAGGTAGTACCAATGTGAAAATGCTGTGCTGAGTGGTTATATTACTACCTTAAAAAATAAGCAGAAACTCGACGTTTCGAGCGAAGGCCCTTCGTCAAGAGTTAGTGGCCAACTCTTGACGAAGGGCCTTCGCTCGAAACGTCGAGTTTCTGCTTATTTTTTAAGGTAGTAATATAACCACTCAACACAGCTTTCAAAATACTGTTTGTTTGATTTATTTTCTGCCATAAAGCATAAAAGAAAAGAAATTCGAAGAAATTCGATAATGTAAAATTTGTTCCATTTACTGTTCGGAGTACTCCGGGTTTTCGGAACACTGATTGAATCGAACCGAAAACGGTCACATGACTGTTCTGACTGCCCCTACTCAAAAGTAGGGGCAACCAGAACAGTCATGTGACCGTCAGAACAGTCATGTGACTATTATTGGTTCGATTTAGGCAGCGTTTACACTGTACCGTTTTCGTAGCGTTCTCGTATTGTTCTTAATCCTCAAGGGAACGCAAGACAATAGTCTAGTTCTCTCGAACAATACGAGAACGCTACGAAAACGGTACAGTGTAAACGCTGCCTTAATTAGTGTTTCGAAAATCCGGAGTACTCCGAACAGTAAATGGAACAGCCTCGTTGACATGATGATGATCAACCAATCAGATTTCCCGTCCACCAGATGGACGGGATTCCCACAGTTTAGACTGGTTTTGTGTCAGGCCCTATTTAAAATTAGGGCCTAAACCTCAGGTTAACTGAACCGAAGATCGGAAACCTGCAGAGTATTAGGGACCTTAAGCATGTACGACGGCAACGCGACGACGACAGCCAAACCAAATAAATTATTACGAAGACGAGTTGTTGTGTATTATCCACTACATGTATATATGAATTGAGTTCAGTTTGAACAGATTAAAACAAAGGCTTTACGGTTAAAAACGCTTCTGCTGAGCAAATTTGTAGTTTCACTTGTCGCATCTTGACATGTTTGCGTTGTACACGAGACGTGAAAATCTCTGGTTTGCCGTTTTTAAAAAGCCCTAACACAACGTCTCTAACTCCCGAGGGGCTTTTAATTATTCATTTCTTTTGTACCGGATCAGAATATCATTGTGTGAATAGGTGTCGTTATCGCGTTGTCGTCCTGTTTGCTTAAGGTCCCTACTATTCCACTACCGGCATACATAGGCGTACGGGGCGGGGGGGCGGTAGCCCCCCCCCCCAGTTTTTTGGGCAGTCGGGCAATTTCCCAGTTTTTTGGGCAGTCGGGCAATATTCGATCAACAGTCGGGCAATTTTGGTTTGCAATTAAAAAAGTGGGACAAATTCTGTCAATTTTGTCTAAAATTAAGTAAATTTTTTGGCAAATTTTGTGATTTTTGGAAAATTGGTGTTATGTTCCGAAAAATATTGGTTGTCCGGAAAATTTTTTTGACCCCTAAAATGGTACACTGACCGAAATTTTTTTGGCGACGGGGGGGGGGGTTGGAGGTCGCCAAAATAATTTTTCCGAAAAAAATTTTTTGGGCAATGTGGAATTTTTTGGGCAAAAAAGCTACCGCCCCCCCAGAATTTAGCGGCCCCGTACGCCTATGCCGGCATAGTTTAATTAGCACTTGACGAATAAGAGTTATTAATTAATTTGCTTATTTAAAGTGCCTATGACACGAAATTTCACCCCAAAGATTTATGGTTGCATTGTAAAGATCACTTAAAATGACTTAATAATTTCTTTTATAGAATTTTGGTAACTTGCTCCCTTTTCAAGATATTCAACTTTGTTTCATATGCAAATATCACCGGTGTAACATCACAACACATAATGAATTTTCAGAAAAGTATAGTTTTCTTGACGAATACGTATCTACAAAACTTAAAAATTGCCCTTGTATATGTATTAATTTCATAACTGGTAATTAACCCTCTGTATTTGTTTGTATAAAAATATTTTATCAAGGTAAAATATTGCGTTTTCAAAATGTTATTATGCGATGTGATGTCACACCAGTGATATTTGCATATGAAACAAAGTTGAATATATTGCAAAGGAAGCAAGTTACCAAAATTCTATAAAAGAAATTATAAGTCATTTTAAGTGTTCTTTACAATGCAATCATAAACATTTGGGGTGAAATTTCGTGTCATAGGCACTTTAAGTAATTAGTTAAGTGTTTTGCCGAACCGACATTGGAAATTTTAATACAATTTAGCACCTGGGTGTAAATGGTTTCAACAGTCATAATAGCTTTGCCAAAATATCGGCGAAACGTCCGCAAAGACACGTTTAGTAATTTAGTTCAGGCGGCATCTAGTATTATGAAATAGTTTAGCAGTTTTCCTCATATTATAGTCGTTAATATTCAGAACACGTCGGCATGTACATTGCATATGTACGCATCATCTCTTCACACTCATGCAGTATAGTATATGGTCCCTATTTGTAGATCGTCCCTCCCCCCACCCCCCACCCCAAGGACGAATTCTTAAAAAAGGCCCTGCCACTTAACCTTCTTGGATGAGGTCGTGAGAGACGCCAACAATATTCAAATTTATAACAATTTTAAATTTCATTTACCAGCGGGTATTCACTTTGCATATAGGTGTAAATTTCAACTTTTACCAGTTTCGCCGTTTTAAATATCACGACAACGTTAACGTTTTTCGAGACGCGCTCAGTTCCTTTGGCCGAGCTGCAAGAATATTCTATCAGTTTAAGAAAAACATTGAGGTAGGAAAAGTTTCTAATTGTTTTGGATAGTTAAGATGTATATTAGTGGAACATTTTATACAATTGAAATAATTATATACATTTTCATCTGCTATATGTATGTATTGCGCATTTGAATCTAATATCTTCGTAACTGAGGCCGATTTACACTACTCAACTTTTGCCTAAAATTTGATCGCATGCAACTTGCTCCAAACTTGTCATGAGCTGTTCTTGTACTGCGTAAATCAAGCACGTGCACAACTCACCTACGACACACAACGTGCGTTATATATATTTTTTGTCTCCTGAGATTCCACTCGTGATTCATGTAAATTTATGTATAGGTGTATGATATTCTTGTTCTTACGATGTTATTTTTTGTAATGGTACGGCTGAATGACATGACTGAACGAATTTCTTCTTTTCCACATGCACGCCTGGTGCCAACAGCCAGCTATTAGTCCAGCGAATGTTGTATGTTATTTTTTCTCTTCAGATTCTACTCCTGATGTAAATGTATAGGTGTATTGATATTGTTACGAGTATGAATCGGGCAAGCAGAAACTAATTCTACTTGACCACGGTTGTGAATCGAACCCCCGACCTATACGTATTTCCAGAACGACGCTCTACTTTCTGAGTTAGAAGGCCAAGCTGGGAACGATGTTATTTTTTTGTGATGGTAATGACATGAACGAATTTTTTTCTTATCCACGCCTGGTGCCAGCTATTAGTCCAGCGAATGTTGTATATGAGTGACTAATATCAATACTCCTATATATACATTTAAATCACGAGTAGAATCTCAGCAGAAAAAAGATCATATACAACATTCGCTGGACTATTAGCTGGCACTAGACGTGGAAAAGAAGAAATTGGTTCATGCCATTACCATCACCAAAAAATAAAATAGTTCCCAGCTTGGCCTTGTAGTTCAGAAGTTAGAACATCGTTCGGAAATACGAATGTTGCGGGATCGATTCCCAGCCGTGGTCAAGTATAGAATTAATTTTCTGCTTGCCCGGCTCATACTCGTAAGAATATAAATACACCTATATATATATATATATATATATATATATATATATATATATATATATATATATATATATATATATATATATATATATATATATATATATACCAAATATATATACCAAATATGTATTTAGAATCATATATGAGTAGAGTGCTCGATATACCGAAGTATAGAGCTAATATAGATAAAGATAAAATAAACCTGGTTTACTTCATAAGATTTATTCACTACAAACTTGTTTCGTATGACAAGCAATGCTTGCCACACTCATCATGAGTGTGGCAAGCATTGCTTGTCATACGAAACAAGTTTGTAGTGAATAAATCTTATGAAGTAAACCAGGTTTATTTTATCTTTATCTATCTATATATATCTATATATATATATATATATATATATATATATATATATATATATATATATATATATATATATATATATATATATATATATATATATATATATATATATATATATATACGGTATATATATGTATATATGTATATATGTATATATGTATATATGTATATATGTATATATATATATATATATATATATATATATATATATATATATATATATATATATATATATATATATATATATATATATATATATATATATATATATATATATATATATATATATATATATATATATATATATATATATATATACCAAATATGTATTTATAGAATCATATATGAGTAGAGTGCTCGATATACCGAAGTATATATATATATATAGAGCTAATATAAAATAAAATAAACCTGCTTTCAAAATAAAATGAACCTAGCAACGAGTTCACTAAATAGCCATGCGTTTACCGTCGCGTTTGTCTATCTCTTTACACAGCAAAAAATCACTTTCTTATTTTAAGAAAAAAAAAACTTATTTTAAGAAAATTTTCTTAAAATAAGTCCAAATTTTCTTGGGAGACTGGTAAGAAAATTTTCTTACTAATTTTCTTAAGAATTTTTTTCTTAAGAAAATCATCAGATTTTTCTTAAAATAAGAATACCAATTTCTTATTTTAAGAATATTTTTTCCTTTAAAATTTCTTATTTTAAGAAAATGTTCTTAAAATAAGTCCAAATTTTCTTGGGAGACTGGTAAGAAAATTTTCTTACTAATTTTCTTAAGAATTTTTTTCTTAAGAAAATCTTAAGAAAATCATGAGATATTTCTTAAAATAAGAAAACTCAATTTCTTATTTTATAAATATTTTCTCTTTAAAATTTTTTAGTTTAAGGAAGAGGTATATTTTTATTTTATAAGGACCAACAAGTTATAGTAATGATATATTGATTATAGACTGGAAGCAATTATAAAGAATACATGGCACCTTGCATGCAATAGTTTATACTGTATATAAATATATATAAATATATACCACATGATATTCATCATATAGTAATATATACCACATGATATTCATACAGAAAAATATATACCACATGATATTCATCATACAGTACATACTGTATTAGTACCAGCTTATTGCATATCAACTTTGAAACTCTGGTAGCATTGGCAATGTCTTGTGACACATTTGTGTCTTAAAAATCTAATGCTGAAAAACATTCCAACCAATTTCCTGCATCTGCGAATAATCAAAATCCAGAAGGTAGAAACTGGCAAGAAGTGCAAGTACTGCCTCATTCAAATTGGACATCTCCATGACATCTCATATGTATTGTTTCACGTTTTAAACACTGAAGACGTTCACAATCACATTATTTGTATGAAGGTGAATTTGTGTGCGATGACTGATGAGGATATAAAGTGACTGGTCAACAGGGATTTTTAGCCAGTCATTGACTGTTGACTGGCCGTTATCTTGAGCCCGGGATGCATGCGACGATGACAAGTTACCTAGCTGCTGGTCTACACTATTTAATATACTGTATCAAACAATTAAATAAATTAATGGATAGAGTATAGACAGTACATATACACATGCCAAATTCAATGTTCTACTCTAAATCAGTCTTGAATTTTTGGAAACTTGTTAGTGCTGACTGAAATGAATCGGCAACCTCTTGAGGAACATTAATGTCTTGAAATACATAATGCTCATGGAGAACAATTAATCCAATCTCCGGAAAGTGTGGATAATCAAAAACTAAAAGATAAAAACTTGCCAGCACTGCAGTGCTTCATTCAGCTCTGTTACGTCCACTTTGTCAGAAAGTGCTTTCAAGATTGACCACATCCACAGGCGCGTTAGGGCGTATCCGCGTATGACAGCATGTTCGCTGGAATACATAAAACACAGTGTTCCTTATCTATGATTGCTCGTGTAAAATGGACTGTATAAAAATGATATTAATAGGAAATTACACTTGTTCTCGAAGTATTAAAGGGAAATGGCAATATATTTTTTATTTTCTCATTTGAAAGAACTTTTGAAACAAAATATTATTAACATTTTTCACCGTTTTTTCATATCTTACTACGTTTTTTCATATCATCTTAAAATTTTAAATTTATATATATATATATATATATATATATATATATATATATATATATATATATATATATATATATATATATATATATATACTACACATTATGCCTAAGGCCTTTATGCGCACGCTCACTGCATTTCACAGTTTAAAAACGGCGATAAAGCACATAAGTAAAGACATTGTAGCGCCCTTCAAGGAAAGCTCAAACAACGGCAACTGTGGACAGCTGTTTCGCCCTTTTTGGGGCGCATCAGCACAGTGCACCGATGATGAGCTTCCACATACCAAGAATATATATACTATAGAAGACAGTGTGGTGGATGTGGGACACTACAGAACTTTATATACTACACATTATGCCTAAGCCTTTACACGCACGCTCACTGCATTTCACAGTTTAAAAATTGCGATAAAGCACATAAGTAAAGACATTGTAGCGCCATTCAAGGAAAGCTCAAACAACGGCAACTGTGGACAGCTGTTTCGCCCTTTTTGGGGCTCATCAGCACAGTGCACCGATGATGAGCTTCCACATACCAAGAATATATATACTATAGAAGACAGTGTAGTGTGGTGGATGTGGGACACTACAGAACTTTATATACTACACATTATGCCTAAGCCTTTATGCGCACGCTCACTGCATTTCACAGTTTAAAAACGGCGATAAAGCACATAAGTAAAGACATTGTAGCGCCTTTCAAGGAAAGCTCAAACAACGGCAACTGTGGACAGCTGTTTCGCCCTTTTTGGGGCTCATCAGCACAGTGCACCGATGATGAGCTTCCACATACCAAGAATATATATACTATAGAAGACAGTGTGTGGTGGATGTGGGACACTACAGAACTTACAAATCTGAGGATAAGCGTAAATGCGAAAATTATAGACCAATTTCAATTCTTCCCATAATAAGTAAAATATTTGAAGGGGAAGTTTTTACTCAAATATATAGCTTTTTGAATAAACATGCGCTTCTGTCTAAATTTCAATCCGGGTTTAGACCAAAACATGGAACCTTAGGTGCTCTTATACAAATGTGTGATCAATGGCTACAAGACATGGATGAAAGCAAAATAAATGGAGTTGTTTTTCTTGATATATGTAAAGCATTTGACTCGGTGAATCACGAGATATTATTGGAGAAGCTTAAAACCCAGTTTGGAATTCACGACATTGAATTAAAATGGTTCCAATCATACTTAAGGAATAGAAAGCAGGTGTGTTCTGTTAATGATCAAACTTCTTCTGCAAGAACAATAATATGCGGAATTCCGCAAGGATCCATACTTGGTCCATTATTGTTTTTGCTATATATTAATAATGTGCCTGATATTTTAGAAAGGACAACCCCATGTCTTTATGCCGACGACACTCAGATATCTTCCTCTTCGCATGATTACGATACATTGATTGACAATTTGAATATGGACCTTTCCAGTATTCATAAATGGCTTGCTAAAAACAAACTAAAATATCATAGGAAAAAAACAAAAGTCATGTTTATTGGATCTACGCATAATCTAAATCGTAAAATAGGAAATAGAGCCGTTGAGATTAACAAAATCCCAGTCCCACAAACCAATACATTTAAATGTCTAGGTGTAAATCTAGATGAAAAATTAAGTTGGGAGAAACATATTGATTCTGTATGCCATAAGATTAGCGCTGGAATAGGAGCAATTAAAAGAATAAAACCTTATGTTCCACACAAAACCTTACATGATGTCTACAAAACATTAATTCAGCCTCATTTTGATTACTGTTCTCCCCTGTGGGATAACTGTGGTTTGGGACTTCAAGACAAATTGCAAAAATTCCAAAATCGAGCAGCAAGGGTGATTACCGGAGCTGACTACGATGTAAGATCGTCTGAAGTCCTAAACAAATTAGGCTGGGAAACCCTGGCTAGGAGACGAGAACAAAACAAGCTAGTATTGATGTATAAAGTCTTGGGGAACCACACTGCGCCAAACCTTAAAGATCTTTTTTCTCGGAGAAATGCATCGCAGAATATTTATGATTTACGCAATAGCGAAACTGATTTCTCGTTAAAAAAACCGAAAACGGAATTTCTAAAGAAAACATTTGGATACAGTGGAGCAATTCTATGGAATAGTCTGCCGCAAGATGTCAAGGCGGCTGAGTCAATTACGTCATTTAAAACAATGGCGAAATTGCATTTAAGCAGATGATAAGCTAATTTCTCCAGGACCAAATGATGGGAGGACAATATAGATTGTGGGCGGGAGGGGGGTTAGTTTTGCGTGAGGGTGGGTGGGTACTTGTTTAGGGGGTGGAGGTTTGGGAGGAAGATGATAATATTTTAGGGTGGGATTCTTACATATTTTGTTCTATATATAATTAACATTTAGCTCTTTGTGTGTATACGCCCTTCGTGGAAACCAGTTGTAAATAATTGTCGAAGTTAGCGTATTGAAATAAAGTTTTACATTACATTACTTTATATACTACACATTATG